CGACGGCACATAACAACAACAACAACAACATGAGTCGCAAGGGACTCGATGGCACATAACAACAACAATAACAACAACATTCATTCTTGAACACATTCTAATCAATACTTCATCACTACTATATTATTGAAATGGCTTTTACTAATATTACCAACCACCTCCATGTTGCCCCATCCAGAGATTAATTTTCACTTCTCATTTTAGGGCATTTGACACAAACACTTCTTCTTGAAACATGTTTTCATCTGACTTCCAAAACATCACACTCTGCTGGTTTTCTTTTTAACTCAATATGTGCTGATTCTCAATTATCTTTTCTTCTGAGTTCTCCTTTTACTGATAACACCATGCTAGACCTCTCCAAGGCTCCTAGCTAACTACGTTTCTCTGTAAATGCATTTCTCGAAGTAATACTATCTGATCCTCCTTTTGCTACTACTTTAAATGTAAACTCATTTTATTTTTTCAGCTTTGACTTCTCTTCCAAAACTTATGATATTTTATATCAGTATTTGCTTGTTCATTTTTATTATTTATTGTAATTTTAGGAGGTTTTTTTCCCCAGTATAAGACTACCTTTTCTATAACCAGCATCATCTAGGTGGGTCTAAAATCCTAAGAAGTGTTTTAAACTCTACATTTCCTAACATGTCTCTTGACCTGCACCTGCACCACCACCACCACTCCAACCATCAAATCTTTCTCCCCATGACCTCTCCACTTCAGCGAATGTGATTAAGCTGCTGCAGTCAGTAATTTAGTAGTCTTATGCAACTGTTATCTCTCTTTTACAGTTTATGACTGATTAATAAGTAATTCTTATTGATATTAATTTCTAATTGTACATGGAATCTGACCACTGAACAGCACCAGTATTGCCTAATTGGATCCCTCTTCTCTGTTCGAGACTGAATTCCCCCATGAATGATCATCTGCTACTTTGACACTTCTCATATGTTATTTTCACGAGAGTAACAGTGCACAAATGCAAATTTAATCAGAAATACCCATGATTCCCCATCGCATAGAATGATATAAACTTGTTATAAGTCCAAAAAGACACTCTTGACTGTCTTTAGCCTATTTCTCACACACTAATCGACCATTGTCCCTCCTCCCAGTCAGTGTCAGGAACACTTCCTTCCTCTCAGTCCTTCTTGGATAAGCTCATTCCTCCTCCAAGGTCTTTGCATTTGCCCATACCTCTGCCTGGAGAGATGCTTTTCCCAGGATGCTCAGAAAACACTCTTGGGTTTCATTCATATCTCTTTTTCCTCTATTTACATCTATCTACACAGTTATGACTATCCTCAAATTCTCTTTAACTTATGTCTTTGTTTAATTTTCATATATTATTTGTATGTTTATTGATGGACTTGCCTCACTACGATATGATGTAAATTCTTTGGCA